GCCGCACCTGCGGCACCGACGGGGCGGGAGGCGGCGCCCGCCCCGTCCAGCCCCCGCGCTGCCGGGGACAGCAGCTCCTTCCCCCCGGGGACCGTCCCCAACCCCGCGGGCTGCTCTCCTCCTCCCCCGGCAGGGCTGGGCAGAGCCCGTCTCGGTGCCTGGAGCTGGGTGATCCGTCCCGGCTCTCCGGGCTGCGATCCCGGCGTGTTTCCCCGCAGCCCTATCTGGGAAGGCAGCTCCTCCCAAAGAGCACACACAGGCCGGCACAAAGTCTACAGCCACCCGCAATGCTGGGGGGGTGGGCCAGCCAGGGGTTCCCAGGGGAGCCCAGCACGGTGTGGGCGAGGGACCGGGACCCACAGTCGTGGTGTTCACCCAGCTCTGCCCGCAGCAGAGGATGGCCCCGCTGCAAGGCTCCAGCCTTCGCCCTTGTCCTTCGTGGGCAGAGGTACGGTCCCAGCAGGGCTCCTCGCGCTCTGCCCGCAGCGGCACAGGCAATAGGGAAACGCTGAGCACACGTGGCAGGACGAGGTGTGGGGCTCACATCCATGGGGAGGCAGCTTCTCGTCACGCAGGACAGCGGGGCTGCATAGGAGGCTGGCTGGGAGCAGCCCCAAAGCAAACACGAGGATGCAGCTCTGCCCACACTTTCAGCTGCGCCCCAGGGCTCCCTGCCACAGGACAGGGAGAGCCAGAGGTTCCCAGCCCTGCAGGAGGAGGCAGGACACCTACACAGCGGAAAATCCACAGGGACACCAAAGGGCCTGTGTCAGCTCCCTCCCCAAGCAGGGGTTTCTCTGCAACAGGGGTAACCACACGATGCTCAGGCAAGAGAGCTTTGGGCTTGCAGGCAGAGGCTGTGCTCTCCCAGCCCCTCCACGCACTCCCCTGGGAGCTGGCGTCCCCAGGCCAGACCCCCATGCTTGCACCAGTCACTTTTTAACTGGACACCAACCAGAGAAGTGGGAAACATCCTTATTTCTGCAAAAAGGTGAGAAGAAACCGAGATGAACAGATCTGTTTCCAGTACAATAAAAAAGCACGCTGGTAAATACAAGTACAAAGCCTGCCCCTGACTCACTGAAACGAAGCCCGGCAGGAATCTGATGTTTATTCAGCCCCGTGGCTCTCTCTCCTGTGTGAAAATGGGGCTGAAAGCGCCACCACATTTCCAAGATTGGGGCAGGATGCCGGGTGCTCTCGGTCCCAGCTCACCCCATCCTAGGCTGGGATACAGCTTCTGGAGAGATCTCCCATGGAATCACATCCCTCCATGCCCTGGGGACCGGGAGGCACTGCTGGGCCGTGATGCCACCTGGGAACGAGGGGACATAAAGCGCATCCAGGCTGGCAGCGGGCAACGGTAGCATCTCCTGGCCACTGATGCTCCAACACCAGCATTTCGTGCGAGCCGGAGCCATGCTGGGGCCTGTGGCCAGCTAGGTGGGCAGCATTGGCCGGCACTCGAGGTCCAGCACGAGGTGATGCACGTGGGGCGCGTAGGACTTCACTGCCTCGATGTGCAGAATGCTGGTGCGCCACGGCTGCCCATGCAGCTCTACCAGCAGCCCCCGGATCTGTGCCGCCGTGGCTTCAGCCCACCTCTGCCACTCAGGTCTGATCCTGGCCCCCAGTGTCTCCTTGCCACCATCCTCCGCTGGGTGCTGCACCTCTCCATCAGAGCCGGCTCCCTCCAGAGACTCCCGCTCAGCCTGCAGGACTGGGGTTTGCGGAGGGGCCGGTGAGGGGAGAGTCTCCACGTTGTGGTGGATGTGGAGAACCCCACCCGTGCCCTTCTTCAGGACACAGCAGGCCACTGGCCAGCCTTCCTCCGAGCTGGGAATCAGCCCCAGGTTCACCCGGTCCGCTATGTCCCGCAGCTCCAGCTGGAAGGAGAGGGGAGATAAGGGGGATGGCACGCGGGGATGGGGGGTCCGCGGCTGGGCGGCACCACTCACCTGCCGGCTGTCCCCGTGGTGGATGTGGCAGCGGTCCTGCACACCGTTCAGTGCCAGGTTCCTGCGCAGGGCCTCCACGGCATGGCCGTTCCACTCGCAGGCATGGGCAAAGGCAGCCGCTGCGTGAACCAGGTACGGCAGCGTGAAATAGCCGATGCCTGGGGGCAGGAGGTGGCAGTGCTGAGGGCAGGGTCCCGGTACCGCCGGGGGGTCCACGCTCCTCCCCAGAGGCAGGGTGGGATGCGGATTGCCACCCCAGCTCTCTGAATCTGCTTTGCTCTGGGTTGGAACAAGCCCAGATGCTGGGAAAATGGAAATTCATCCCTCCCTCCTCTGCAAAAGCAAAATCTGTCTGAAAAAATGTTTACAGAGGAGCTCTTCAGTCTTTGTTCATTAGCTCAAGACCTGCCTTGCCCTGCTTCCGCTCAGTGCAGAAGTGCTCAGACTACCATTAATTTTAATTAATCCAGAGCAGTTTTGTGAGTGCCACTGCCTTTCTGTGTGGCACTTATTGAAAGCATTAACTTTCCTAAGTACAAAACAGCAGCTCTCTTGACATGCAAATGCCTGATGTGATCTCCCCAATCATCTCACAGCATAGGACATTTCAGTTAGCGTCAGCTTGTCAAGAAAGTGCATGAGTACAGGCTCAGGACATCTACGGGACCTTATTAGAAACAATCTTGAGGACAAATCTTTCTCCTGGATCCCAATGATTCCCATGACCAGCACTAGATACAGAGCAGTGCTCTGCAGAGCCTGAGTGTAAGGTCATCCTAAGTGTCCAAAGGCAACAAGGACACAGGAGGGACAGCAGTGCCAGGTTAGCTGAGGGCTCACAGACAGGGCAGGAGCTCTAAGCCTGGGTATTTTTCCAGTCCAGGCTGGAAACGATGTTTCACATCCACCTGGATGCCATTGGTACCTGCTCACTGCTCTCAGCCTGCCTGCCTGCCTCCGCAAGCCTGCCCTGCCAAATCCCTCCGCCATCCCCGTTACCTGCGTAGAGATCCACCAGGACCTCCCCGGAGCAGGGCAGCGAGGCCACGCGCAGCTTCTCTGTGATGTTGCCCGGTGAGAACATGCACTTGGTCACATCGAACGTGTACCTGGGAGATATCACCGGCCCAATGAGGGCAGCCCCTTCCCTGCACCGGCTGCGTCCTGCACCGTGGCTCCTGCCTACCTGATCCCGTTGTCCACATGCTCCACCCAGCCATCCTGGCCCAGCAGCAGGGTGACGCTGGGGGACCGCATCCCATCCGGCAACACCCGTCCTCGCCTGGCCAGCCTACGGCCACCCAGAGCTGAGGCGACCGTCTCCCAGAGCGCCGGACCTGCAACGCACCCGTCCTCGGAGCTTTGGGAAAAGCCAGGACAGCTCTGCAGGCAGGATTTGGGCAGCCAGACCCTGCTCCCCCTTACCCAGCTTCTCCCACGGCGCAGCCCTGAAGCAATCCTCGCTCAGCAGGACCAGATCCCCATGCCGCTGCCAGGCACGGGGGACATCACGCTCCAGCTCCTCTGACCAGCTCTTGCCCAGCAGCCGCCGCAGCTCGTCCCGCAGCTTCTGGGCAGGCGTCTGCCGGCGGGCTGCCCTGGAGGGGACGGGGTCCTGCGGAAGGGATGTGGCACGTGGGGCTGAGACCCCACCGCCCCATGGCGGGACTCTGGGAGGGGGGGGTCTCTCCCAACCTGGATCTGGACCAGTCCACAGGGTATCTCCTGGGGCAGCCGCAGCTGGGAGAGCTTCTCCTCAACCACTGGCAGGGCCACGCGGCCCCCCGGCACTTCCTGCAGCCGGTAGCGCCCGTCCAGGAGCTGCTCCTCTTCCAAATGCTCCCTGCAAGGTCAAGGCACGGTCAGGCCCTCCCCAGCCCCGCAGCCCACCCCACCAAAGGGAAGAGACCCCAGTCCCAGGGTGTGAGGCTGGCCCTCCAAGCTCTCCTCCCCGCCAGCCCTGCCTGCACCCTGCCAGAGCAGCCGCAGGGCTCCCATTCCCCCTTGCAGGCTCACCTGAGGCGCTGGACGAATCGCGGCTCCGTGGCCAGCGCAGGGATGGGGACGGGGACATCCCTGGCCTCCATCCTGCCAAGTCCCAGGACGGAGGGATGTCACCAGCTAGCAGGGATACGGCCGCCTGCCAGGCAGGCACAGGGTGTCTGGCTCGCAAGGGACAGGAGGGAGCGGAGGCCGGTGGGGGTCCCTGGCACCGCCATGCTGCGGGCATCAGAGACCAGGCTGCACCCCGGGGCAGGGGGCTGGCTGCCCTGGTGCTGCCATGGGCTGATCGGGGATGGGGTGCCCTGGGAGGTGGGATACCCTGGGGGCTGGTGTCCCATGGGATGGGGTACTCTGGGGTGGGGGAATGGGGTGCTCCACGAAATGGGGTGCCCGGCGATGGGGTACCCCAGGGGGTGGGGTGCCCGGGGTGTCAGGGGATAGGGTGCCCTGGGAGTGTGGTGCCCAGCGGATGGGGTGCCCTGGGAGCGGGGTGCCCAGGCGATACGGGTTGGTGTGTCAGGGCATAGGGTGCCTCAGGGGATGGGGTGCCCGGGTGTGGGGTACCCGGGGGACTGTGCCTCAGGGCCGGTGCCCGGGACTGCACTCCTGAGGCCGCGCGGCTGCCCCGGGAAGGGCTCCCCAAGGACCCAGCAGCCCCCGGCCGGGTGTCCCGGCCGCCCACCGCCCCGCTCCCCGCTCCTACCGAGCGCGGCGCGCAGGGGGTCAGCGGCGTGGCCCCATGTTTCCCGTCGGAGCGCTTTCCCCGCCGCGCCGCGCCGCCGCCATGTTTGTTGCGGGAGCGGGCGGGAGCGGGA